TTTCTGAAGCTTTGAATTGAATTTTCATGTTTTTGTTTTCGATTCCGATGATTCGATTCGTTTTGCCTATTCATGTTTGGTTTAGAAACTCATTTCTAGAATTTTTCGCTTTTTGTAGAATTCGCAACGTAAATTTTAATCATAAGAACATATAGAATCTTGCAACTGCTTTCGATTTCCATGGTTCCATGCGTTTTTACTTCTTTGTGTTGTGATTTCAAACTTACTTATCCCATTTTGTAGAATCCATAACTTAAATTCACATAGAAGTGTCTAATTGTGGTAGTTATTAATTTGGTTGTAGGGTTAAAGGTTGCAGTAGAGTAGTCATGGATTGGCTCAGTGCTTCTGCACGTTCTATGATAGTTTCTGATCTTGATCATACAATGTTAGGTTTCATAAATTCTTGCTGCACTCCAGAATGATGTCGTGCTTGTATTGCTATTAGTTACTTTAATTGGACATGGTGCTCTTTCTGCAGGTTGATCATCATGATGTTGAGAATGTATCCTTACTCTGCTGCTCCATATATCATGCCCAGGTGGAAATAAAAAGTCCCTGGTAAGTTTGGAGTGTTGGCTGATGGATTAACTTGAGTATAGGTATAGATAGAAGTATATAGCTTTTATTGTGTGAAAATTAGGAAAGCAAATTTATCCTAATATAATAAACTGATAAGTGAAGAAAACTTTCAGCTTAAATGCTTGACCAAAAATGTACTTTATGTAGCTGTACCTGGAACCAGTACTAGGACTAAGTTACATTTTAGATCTACTTTGACTGGAACCTATTGACATTCTGCATCAACTTTTATTGATTTTCTTTATCTAATGAATCCACTAAGAAATGTTGTTTCCGCTTTTGATTCCTTGTTGGAATACTTTATGATCTATGTTTAGAAAGAACCACCATTTCAGTTCTTCTTTCTTCAGGGTCCATCTGCTGTAACTGTCAATCCATCTGGTGTTGAGAAAACTTTACATGAATGCATACATGAATTGAAAAGGTGGTACGGAGACAAGCAGGGAAAAATGTTTTGGGTTTGGGGGGATCCTGTATTATCTACACAGAATGGTTCAAGCATCACATGGCTGGTGAATTTCAATAAGTGGGAGCCATGTGGTGAGATTTCTTTTTATGTTCTTCTATATCTGCTCAATCTTTGCATCTTTTCAATTTAAACTAAATGTCATATCTGTGCTAATTTATTTACCTTTCTCGCATTCATCTCTGTGGATATATATGGCAATAAATGTCTCTCCAACTTGGAAGACCAGTAATAGGAATTTGCATGTGAACATAATTGCCTTTGAGCCCTTGATTTCCTTGTTAGTATATTCATATAGAAACCAATCCATGGTTGGTTCTTAATCTGATAAATGCTGCTTTAGAACAAAAGATTGTTTTAAACCTTGTCAAAGACTTGGATGTCATAGCATTTCAAGAATGCCAAGACTACAGTCCCAAGGGTTAACTTGTCATCTAAATGCTTCATTTTACATATTTTCCCTTACAGAAAAAAAAAATCAAATTCAGATATTAGCTATCACTCATAGTATGCGTATACCAGAGACTAATTCCAATGTAGCTCATACTTAGGGCTGTTAACAGTTAGCTTTTCTACTGATATTCTTGTGCTGATTTTTATAGGTAATGTGCGGTGCTGTTGTGCAACCCTTGAAAAGATCAGTGCTAAGCGAAGAAAGCTAGAACATTATAACTTGCAAACCAACTATTCAAAATGATTTGTGGCTGCAAGGATCACATGGGCTCATCAGGATGCATGTACAACAGACGTGGCCGAAAGGATTGAAAATGAAAGAGCATTCAGCCTGGTTGCTCTAGATTGATATTAGATATATACTATCCCTAACCTTTCTGGCTCTAGAGTATTCAGTATTCAACTGAAGTAAATGTACTAATAACGTTAATATTTCATTTCTTATATATAAAACTATACATAGCCATAGGACATCAAAGATCATTCCTTCATAACTTTTGAATAATATTTCTTTAGGATTTAAACTAAGTTCTCAAACTTCAGGTGGATATGAATATATCATTTACTTTTATCTTTTCGAGAACAATAACCCTCTGATTTATTTAGTTGAATTCAGAAATATAGATATTAATCAAATCCTAAGTCTTTGTTTGGGTTAATATTATACGCAAGTCCAATTATAATCTACCATCAAAGAGTCAATCCAGTTCAGCTAATAACTTGAATTTGAATAAGGATCACAAAGGTGAGCCTTTTTAGTAATTGGGGATTCATGTATCAAAAGCCAATCTAGGTTCATAACAGATAACACATGGTTTTAAAAGGGCTCATCAAATATCACATTTAACCAGTATTATTCTGTGCGTGTGTAATTAAATGGAAAATAATCAAACTCAAGAATAAATCAAGCAACAAGAATAAAAATTATCACATTCACAAAAAAAAAAAAAAAGACTTGATTTTTTAATGTGAAAATTCCGTAAGGGGAAAAAACTAGGGCACCTAGTCCAGTAAAATACATCTACTAAAAATATAGCATTATTTCAAAGTTTCTTCTCCTCTAGGAAAACACTATAGGAAATAAAGAATAAAATTGTTGGATCACCAACGTATTAATCATCACCAAAATAAAGCTGGAAGTCAAAATCTCCAATCAAATTGGGAATCTCATTAAGTGTGCTGAGTGTGTATCAAGAGGAATTGGAGACCAAATCACTGTTGATCATCGAGCAGAACCATAACTCCTCTACTAACCTTCCTGCTGCTGTTGCAAGGCACTCTGACAGTCTCTCTACTATTTTTTACAATGTTGATCAAAACCAACTACTGGCCATTATTTAAAGCTCCATGCAGTTCATGGTGCGTTCATGAAGAGTTTTCTCAACACCAGATGGATGGATACATACAACACAAGAATCCTGAAGAAATAAGAAATTAAAATGGTTGGTTAACATAGTTGAGTATGGCATAAATTAGCCTAGTAATAAGTCCTCCTACAACTAACAACTTGCATTTAAAATTTTAAAATTTGGACACGTTAAAGAATTAGAATGTGACGATGCACCTGGAAATGATTTGTGCATAATGTTGCCTCAAAGCTTTACTCCATTCACCTTTATATATATATATATATATAAGGGGAAGTTACTAGAAAAACTCAGAAAATCCATGTCTGCAAAAATGAATTAAAGCTTAGCATTTTCTTGATTAATGATAGAGAATCACTCTAAACAACTGAGGATGAGAAAGTAAACCTTGCCTTACCAGAGAGGGTATTCTTGGAGGGTAGAACATTATAGCTTCAAGCCTGCAACTATGACAAATCTGTGAACACCACCATTTTTCATCAAGTTGTTAGATCTTGAAGCTACTTTGCAAGTCAGCCCATTCTTAAGTAAAACAACAGTGTTTGTGCTGCAATATTGGCTGTGACTTGGGATGAATAAAGAGAGAATGCAGTACACATTGTTGGATTACTCATTTCTGACTCATCATACTAGAAGCATCAACTCCCACATGAAAGGCAACGTTAATGTCAAAGCATCCAGCAGCTGCTTTCTGAAGAAAGATCTTGCTTAAAAAGGGAGGCTTGAACTTGTAATATAGGATCAATCACCTTCTAACTAATCCTGTAGTTGACTTGAAAAAGGTAAAGGGTCTAATAAGATGCTACACGATTCAAGATATCAACTATGTTGGACACTACACAGTTGTGGGAAAGTAGTCCCTAAAATTATGGGAAATGTGAGATAAGAAGATAACTTCTGGCACATAAAAGAAAAAAGGAAGTCACAAAACAAAGGGATCCTACATAGGCCTAACAAGATTTTGCTGTATCCTTTGTGCAAGCAATAGGGAACATAAAAAAAAAGAATGGGAAAATAGAAAAATCAAAGGCTAAACTGAATTTTGGAGCACACAAAAAGCATCGATTGTAACATTAAAAAGAAAGAGGGATAAGTGAATTGCAGAAATGAAATTGAAGTAAAATAATAACACAAAACTGTAGAGATGTATATAATCTGAAAAAAAAAATTGAAAAAATTGCAGAATAAATGATGGAAATTAGTTAATCTTCAATGCAACCAATACATATTAATCAAGAGAAGGGAGCAGTAGGAAATAATCATTTAATTCCAAGGTAGCTAACATCATAGATAGTAGAGGAATATACTAGTATATCATCAAAATGTATGATTTTGCTCAAGTAAAATGAACTGTAAAGATAGCCTGACATATCAGTTTTGATTCCTTGTCCTAAACAATAACAATAGTAAAGCAAATAGGCATCACAATAAAATTTTAAAGAGTTAATTTGGGTACATACAGGGTAAGTTCTGCTTTCCCAAATAAAAAACTCGTAAAACTGCAGCTTGATTTAGTCATATTACAAGCTTATATAATTCAGCAAAGGTCATGTGTGTTTCAGTTCCAGCTTACAAGCTTGTTTAATTTAGAAAAGGTCATCTGCATTCCAGTTCCAGCTTACAGAAAAATCTCATTTGAACATCAGCAACTCCTTGTTTCAAAAGTTTTCCAATTCTTCAGAATGGAAAACATAATTGGTTGGCTTGCCTAAGAACATCATTTTGCAAGCAGCAAGCTCCTTGGTGACATTTGTTTTCCTTTTTTTTTCCATCAGCAAATGAAATTATTAAATAGGATGCAGTACCCCAGTGCATGTACAATTTAGAGTATGCTTATAACTTCTCACACATAATAGGAAAAAGGGAGTCACAAAACAAAGTGGTTCTCCATAGGCCTAACAAGATTTTGCTCTGTCCTCTGTACAAGCAACTGGGAACATGAAAAAAGGGATGACAAATTAGAAAAATCAAAGGCTAGATTGGAATTTGAGAAAATATAATTCATTTAGAATTTGGATGGAGAAAACGAATGCCAAGCCCACATAGTAATATAGTATAACTTGTTATTGAAAAAGACAAAAAAGCATCAGTTGTAAAATATAAAGGAAAGATTGATAAGTGAATTGCTGAAATGAAATTGAAGTAAAATAATAACACAAAGCTGTAAAAATCTATAGGTTCTGGGAAAAATATTTTAAAAATTATAGAATAAATGACAAAAATTTAGACAGTTTTTAACACAACCAATATGTATTAATCAAGAGAAGGATGCAATGGGAAATAATCATTTAATTCTAAGGTAGGTAACATCGTAGATAGCAGAGGAATAGACCAGTATATCATCAAAATGTATAACTTTGCTCAAGCAAAATGAACTATAAAGATAGCCTGATATATCAATCTTGATTCCTTGTTCTAAGCAATAACAAAAGCAAAGCAAATAGGCATCACAATAAAATTTTAAAGAGATAAGTTGAATACTTACAGGTTACAAGGTTGTTTAATCCTTAATGCCAAGGCTAGCAACTCATCCCCTTTGAAATAATCTGAAAGCGTAAGCCATTTTTGAGGCAAGTGAATGCATGCATGTTTTCAGAGGAAAATAATTTTAAAGTGAATAATAAATAGTATGTACAGCTCATGAATGCAAGGAATGAATGAAGTACTAGTAACATTGAGGAGTGGCTTGGCTTTATTTACCTCAACAATTGGGGAAAAAGGATTTGCAATGCTTATAAGAAAAGGCAACAGAAGGCAACATAATTTCTCTAAATTCTCATATGAAAACCATAACATGGTGATGCATGTTTCTGTTCACTTTAAGCTCATATTACCTTTCATTCACTTATCCGAACGCAGGGGATGCTCCAGGTGAGATTCCAGTAGTCTCCATTTTCCTCAAAGCGCTGTCGTTTTAGATGCGGACACTTCCAGATTTCTAGTTTTTCAAGCGAGGGAGGGAAGGCTTCCCTTGGTAAAGACCGTAGCTTCGGGCAGTTTTCGATAAGTAACCAAGTAAGGGAGCTTAGGTTTTGGAATAGCCCCCCAGGTATGGATTCCAAATTTTCTGCTTTCCAGATCAAAAGACTAGTTAAAGAAGAAGGCAGCACAATACCCAGAGGCAATTTTCGGCCAATTCCTAATGATCGAAGAGACGTCAGGTTTTGGAGGTCCATCGTCAAAGCCTCACCTGAAAGTGATAGATTCCCAAGTGATGTGAGCTGGCACATTGAATTTGGCACACACTTGAGATTCTCACAATAATCAAATCGAAGACATTTTAAGTTTGGCGGCAAACCCCCATTTGGAATGCACTTGATGCTGGGGCAATGTTGCATCGATAGGTCTTGAAGAGACTCCAACTGGTACATCGTATTTGGGAGGTATTTGAAATTCTTACACCATTGTACCACCAACCCCTTAAGATTGCGGGTGCATAACCACAACTCTTCTGGTATGGACTCTAAAACTTCACAGCTCCAAATACATAATCGAACGAGCTTGCTGACGCCATCAAGATTGGGTAAACTTTTCAATATTTTACAATTCCAAATAGAAATCGATTGGAGTCTCGTACAATGTTGCAGCATCTTCTCTGGAAATGATTCCAGCCACTCGCCACCATAAGTAACTTCAAATTCCTTGAGAAAAGCTGGTAGCTGATGACAACTGCCCTGAGAAGAATACAAACATGGAAGATTACATATTTTCGAATGTAGATCACTATTATTATAGTCACCATCAACATCCGGTAGAGACTCAAGACCTTCACAATTTTCTATGCTCAAGTATTTAAGCGAGGTGGGTAATTTGCCTCTTGGAAACGACTTGAGAGAATCACAATGACAAATTTCCAACCTTTCTAGTCTCGACATCAACATACTAGTGTTGCTGCTACTGCTGCTATCTGTCCTCATCATCATTGCATCCGGTAATGACTCCAAAGCACTACATCTCTGAAGGCTAAGATGTTTAAGATTGAAAGGCAAAAGGCTTTGTTCTATTTCTATCCCTTCCTCCCACAAACAAGTAAGATCATTGCAATTTGCAATATCCAAAGTCTCAAGTGCTGTACAAGACTGTGTAAAACTCTCAGGCAAGCAAATCAATTTTGAAATTTGCTCAATTTTCAAGTTAGTGAGGGAAGTGAGATTAACCATTCTCTTCAAAAGCACCCCATTACAGCATCTAATAGACAACTCTTTAAGTGAAGAAAGGTTGCTGGGTAATTGTCCTAACTTAGGACAACCTTCAATTACAAGCTTATGAAGACAACGGAATTCACCTTCACTTCCAGCAAGAGAAGTCCATTCCTTCCAATTTAACATGTTTCGAAACTGCAGTTCCTCCAGTAATGGAAAAGAGTCATGTCCCCCATAAAATTCAGAACCTATAGCTTCTACTAACTCCATGCCATGAATAATCAATTTTTTGAGAACAGGTAGTAGGCCGAGTGATGGTAACAAAGTGCATCTCTTACAATTACAGAGCTCCATGGATGATAAATTGAAAAATAATGATGGATCACAAACCCAGGGAGGGAAATTCTCACCACCATAGCAAGAAATTTTGAGACTTTTCAAATTTGAATGAGGTTTTAACCACCCAAGGACTTGCATTTTAAGGACTAATTCATCTCGATTATTATTAGAAGTAGTCCACTCCAAATCATGATCAGAAGTAGTCCGCTCCAGATCAAAATTAGAATCCAGATCATTATCAAAAGCAGTCCGCTCCATATCAGAATCAGAAGTAATCCACTCCAAGACTAACTCTTCCAAACCATGGATTTTGTCTAGGTTGGCCTCTCTAGCATCTTGAACATCTAAAACATTCTGCAAATTTAGGATAGACAGTCTTCCTCGAATTTGTGACAAATTCTTCAAATCAGATAATCTCATCATCATTCCACTTGCCTTCCCCACAATAAATTTGGACAATGTTACAAGATTTTTAAGATTGCCTATTCCTGATGGCATCTCTTTTAAAGATGGTGTATCAGTGATATCAAGATGATGGAGGTCAATTAGATTCCCAATTGTCATTGGCAACTTACTAAGCTTTTGACAACCATATAATAGTAGTGTTTGTAAGAAGAGAAGAGAACCCACTAATTCAGGTATACATGCGACACTTGTACAAGAAAGATCAATGTACCGAATATGTTTCAAATTTTCAAAAGATTCTGGTAGCTCGCTTATTTGATAGTGGTGAAGAGATAGCACTCTTAAGCGATTTAATGTTGGTAGAAACTCATGCAAGATTCTTTTAGACAAATACGAGCAAGTTTTGTAACCAGAAAGTGGCAAGAATGTTCTCCAATGCTTCAATTTATCCAAGATTATGAATCTCTCTGAGATTTCATACTGGTCTGGAGTGAATGACAAATGACGAGCTTTCTCTAATTTTTCATCACCCATGCTACGTTCAAGATTGCAATATATTTTTCCAGTAACATCTAGAGCTAAATCATTTATGAGGTCATGCATCACAAACCGTGATTCATCTCCACTTGACTGTTGAAAGAGTGATCTTAAGAACAACTCATCGAAATATTGATGACCAATCTCCTCTTCCATTTGCTTCTTTTCATGTGACTGTTGCTGTAATAAGCCCTCAGCCGTCCATAACAAAACCAACTCCTTTTTGTCAAATTCATAGTCTTTCGGGAACAAAGCACAATAAGCAAAGCAACGCTTCAAGTGAGAAGGAAGATGATTGTAGCTCAATCTTAGAGCAGGAAGAATTCCACTTCTATCTTCAGATGAACTCCATATGTCACTGTTTAATACATTTTCCCACTCATCAGGACGCAGCTTTCCTCGCAAGACGCCACCAAGTGTTTTTAGTGCTAATGGCAATCTTTTGCACCTCTTTACAAGCTTCTCACCAATATCTTGTAGGTTTGGGTGCAAATTAAAGTTCTCTTTCCCCAGTGCATGTCGTGTAAATAATGGCAAACAAGCATCATCTTGCAGCAATGCTAAATTGTAAACTCCATCATCTATTCTCATCATCGTCCCAACATCCTTATTTCGAGTTGTGACAATTATTTTACTTCCAGGAACTCCTGACATGAAAGGTTTATTCAAGACATCCCACCTGCCATATTCCTTATTCCAAACATCATCTAATACAAGAAGAAATTTGTGCCCAGATAACTCCATTTTCAATTCCTCTTGAAGTGAACTAAAATCATCAAGAACACACTTTTTCTTAGTTACTTGTTCCAAAATGGTTCTTGTTATTCGAGCAACATCAAACTCATCAGAAACTGAAACCCATGCCTTCAAGTCAAACTTGCCTTCTAGTTTTTTATCATTGTAAATAAGCCGAGCAAGAGTTGTCTTGCCTAGTCCACCCATTCCGACAATGGGAATAACAAAGTCTTGTTCAAGACTACCTCCATCTTTTAGCAACCTCTGAACAATAGAATTTTTATCTTCATCTCGACCCCACACCTTATGTTCAGGAACAGAAGACTCAGGTAGTCTTTTTGCAACTACTTTGTGAGACCTATCTTCAAGTTTCAAAGCCAAATCGATTAGGCCCAAAGTACGCATCCCATTTTCAATTTTTTGCAATCTACCGTTCAAATCCATCACCATGGAATTAATCTCTTGATCGCGCTTAGCCTTATTAGAGCTAAAAAAATTATTGACACCAGAGATGATTCTTTGTAGCTTGCTAGGTCCATCTTTAGATTCTGCAATCGATTTAGACCTCTTGGCATCAATCACAAACCCTTCGAGTATGTCCTCCATATCATAGGCCAAGTCCCTGAGATCATCAAGATATGACTTCACAAACTGGTTGGCAACTTGATTTTCTTCTGCATGTTGAAGTACAACAGTAATTTTGGGCAATAGAGTCATCCAGCTTTTCATATGGACATGTATTTCCTCTGAATCCCATAGTTGATCACTTATATATTCCTTTATCTTTTCGAATAGCGAGTCAAATATAACATATAAAAAAGAATCTCCAACACGAGATAAGACTTCCATTGGATTAAATAGCCTTTCTGCATTATATATTAAAAAAAAAAGAGTTAATTACATATCCATTACTGCATTATATATTAATAGTGTAAATTAATTATCATTAAATAAAATTAAATACCAATACAATGTTAAATTAACTGTACACATGATAAAAATTAAACTTAAAATCTTAAGATAGAAATTATCTCAAATTTTTAATAGGTTAATATGGCATCTTTATTTTTATTTTTTTAGAATAAAATAAATAAAGAT